TCGTGCTTCTGGAACGGATTGAGTAGTGACACTCATTACCATGAAGCAACAACTAGCATCAAATGCTGGTTATGAGCCATTAACATCCAATAATAATCCACCAGCATCACTTAGCTCATAAAGGGGGCCATCTTTTCATAGTAAAGCATACAGCTGCTAGATACTGTAGATACTTTTCCTTATCATTAAATCATAGAAGAACAAATGAGAGTGGAGTCTCAGACCTTGAGTCTGAGCAAGGTCTCAAGTCTAGCACATTCATCTAAATCTAATTGTTTAATTAAGAGCTTTCCAGAAAAGCGTTGTTTTGCTTTGTTTTTTTCATAATGATTTCTGGAAACTTCAATCACAATATTTTATTTTTTTTTTTTTGAAGCAAACTTGCTGTGTTTGCAAAGAAAGAGTAAATGTCATGCCAGGTATTTTTACCTCAAGGAGTTTGTTCCAACAGTGGTTCTACCAGTTACTGAATAGCAGAGTTTGTACTTCCTTATCTTTTAAACACCTGCTTAGGACCCAACAGCCACCTGAAGTAGAACTAAATCTACTGTATCTGACCTGACTGTTAGGCTACTACCGAGACCACCTAGGCAGTCCTGATAAAGGCTCAAAATAGTCTCCATGTGGAGTGATCTCAGAAAACACAGGGCTGCTAGCATGACTGCACGGCAAAACTATTCAAATGAGATACTGCTGCTTGGTTTGAAGCCCTACAGACAACATTTAGGACCCTTCTTACCTTTGCCCCTTTTTTAATTCCCCTTCGATGGTGCTACTGGTACAACATAATTAAGAGTCTTCCATTTCTTCAACATACCATAGACAGTCTGATTCCAGAATTATGTTCATACTCTATACAGTCAACACAGAATATCACGTTTCTACTGGGTTCCAGTTGCTGTTAATGGTAACAGTTTGTGTTAATTTACATCCATCAGTTAACTTATATCAAAAACCTTTCTGAAAAAACAAAGACTTTAGCCTAAACATTAAGCCAAGTCGACTGCTGCATAAAATCAACTTGCTTACATAGAGCTTTGTTTAGGACTTAGTTACTTTAACTAAGCTTTCAAATATGGAGTGATTTTTCTGCCAAAATGTTGTGTACAAAATTGCATGTTGCGCATGCATGTTTCACACAAACAAATCTTACGGTTAGTCAGCATGACAATTCTCCATGTATCACGTGACTTTTGGCAGAAACTTACTGCGGAGTGTGAAGAATTGTCTCGTACGCGAGGAGAGGCTGTTTTGTATCCAAGCAGAGATCGTTTTGTCCTCGGGGACAATTTACAAATTATATTTTCAGTGCAATGTTAGAGTCTGGTTTTTAAAACTAATTTTTGTACATGTGCTACATTTAAGGACAGTTTGGAAAAATAAAGTTTTATTTGTGAGTGCCATTAGAGGAGAGTTTGTAACAAGTTTTATTTGTGAACAATAAGATTTATTTGAGTGCAACATGTTTATTTGTGAGTAATAAGATTTGTTTGTGTGAAACATGCTTTATGCATTTGCAACATGCTTTATGTGTGTGCGCAACATGCATTTTTGTACACAACGTTTTGGCAGAAAAATCACTTCATATTCAAGCTGTATCGATCTAGGGTGCTGTTCAGAGATCCATCGAAACAGATTGTTTTAACATCCGTCTAAATAATTTCTGCTGTTTGCATCTAATATTTTTGGGCCTATATTAACCACGGGCAGCAAATGGAGGGTGTGACTAAGCATGTGCCGGGTATGACGGGCCATCACATGCACAAATCGGCCGATACCAACACAACAAAAAATGTAGAAAATAAACACTAACTTCAGCCAAATATATCAGCCGGTTGATGTCCGGTTCTACCTCTAATCCTAAAGAGGATCACTGCCAAACCTGACAGAGGACATCTGGACGCATGAAGGGGGCTAAGAGCTAAAGTACAAGCCTTCCAGAAGACGAATAGACCCACAGAAACCATCCTACACCATCGAAGAACGAGGAAATAGGATTTTCAGATGAAAATCTCTTAACCAAGTTCATCGCCGGACCCAATTTAACAAAAACAAAGAAACCACAAAAAACAACCTTCCTCTTACTGTCATGCATCATTAGTAATAACAAAATTAGATGTTCTACCTGTAGGTGAAACAAAAGTAGTTCTCAGTAGTCAGTTTATACAGGGAATGAAAACTGACTTAACTGGAAAGAAACAAAGTAGAACCAAGAGGCAGAGAGCGAACCAGGGGGGGAGGGCTTCTGATAGCTCAGCTATTTCAGTCAGTGGTCAGACAAGAGCTGTGGGGACAGCTGTTGAGATACAAGTGGTTGAGTAGGATAAATATAGACGCCCCACCGCCTTCCAAAGACCAGCCCACTACAGTCCAAAAGCAATCAAACATGTCCCTCCAGTGAGGGGGTGCATCAGAAATGCAATGGACAGTCTGCAAAGGGGAAATCATCACCACGGAAACGTTACTAAAGGAGAACTTTGAACTGTGATGCTGATGTGCAGCGGGGGTGTCTAACCTCTGTGTTTAAAACATTCCAGGGGAAACCAACGTGATGAGACAGTATTATCCATTTCTCAGCACCTCTACCACAAGATGGCAGCAGGGAAACGGTCAAGAGGGTCGGTTTGGTTTTAAAAACCAAAGAAACACCTAAAGCTTTAACCCGTCTTACAGTTAATGTTATGACAGCAAGGAGTCACAGCAAGAGAAATGATTAATAATTCAGGCAGCTGAGCACAAAAGCTTCAGACGTTCAGGACTGTAACAGGAAACGGTGTAAAGAAGGGGTGGAGTTACTGAAAGCAATGGAAGAAAATTATTTGGCAGAACTCAAAATATTAAAGAAACAAACTTCCACACAATTTTACCTTTATTCCTTTGAATTAATCATTTATGTTTTGCTTTAAAGTTCACTAAATTTCTATGCCTAACCTGATTTTTTTTCTGCAATGAAACTAGTAACTTAGAAAATGTAATAAATAAACTACAAATCTTTTTATTTATGTGTATTTTCTCTCAGAGTGTCACTTTTTCATCTATATTTTTATCCCCGCCCCTTTTTGTTTCAGGGACGGTAACAGACTGCTGACCTTTGCATTCCCTCTGAGAGGTAAATGCTCTCTAGCTCA